CGCTTATTCATCTCATTATTTTATTTACTACAACTAAATGTATAAATCTCAATAATTATAATAAAATCGCAATATTTTCATGTATTATCCATTCAATTTTTTCTAGTTTTTATTAATCTATTTATTAGGTTTCGCTAATGACCCGCGGAGATATCCTTAGTCCAAAAGGGGGCCGTGAATAGAAAAACCACTGTTTTAACTCATTTCACCAACTTAAACGCAATGACTAGTGCGTAGTAGCAAATAGGTAACATAAAGTAATAAAATAATAATAATAATAAAATGCTTAGACGTTCAACATAAATTATATTCATATATAGTTGATTTTTCTTATATAGTTTTATTGATACATATACAATGTAGATACACATTTATTGTAAATCGGCACATTTAATTAATACACGCACACATACACGGCATAGGTATATATAGTATATATATTATATATATTTATAATAATACGCTACAGTCGACTCTAGGCATCTCAAACTTCGATAGTTCAAAATTCTTTATGCACACTCGTCGTGATATAAAACTCAACTCCAATAACCTTTATAATATTAACATATAATAATGCCAATATTATACGTTTAGGTATCACATGCTGTCGATGTCGTGCCAGTGAGATTTTATCGATTTTAATTTATTTTTCAATAGAGGAAAACAATGTCCATGGACTYGGCTAGTACGGATTGTCTTAAAACGATATCTATTGATTCCGCCAATTTTAAGTTGTCAATATTTAATACATGCAGAAAAGTATGAGGAAAATATAAACTTCCCGAAAAATTATTTTTACTTTTATCAATCGTTTTTTCTTTTAAATTGACAGTTGACACGATACATTATACACAATTTTATTGGTACTTATAAGATGCGTATCATCACTTAAAACTGACAACTGATCAACATTTTCTAAAGTAAAATAATTTATAAAAAAAAAATCAAAATATCTTCTATTTTTATTTATATTTAATAATTTTATATCGAATATCACATTATGATTTTAATTATTAGATGACCAATACCTGATTTATTATTATTTTGTACATTATAAAGTATAACGTTTTTAAACTTACATCAGGTACTCATGTGTGTACATTTTGGTCGTACTRTATGACAATATGTTTATTTTTATGCTGCACCTTGTCCTAAGAAATTATTTCCAATAATTTAAAATAGAAACCTAAATTTGATATTTCATTATAGGATAATTTCCCTCAGTTTTTATATAAAAAATGAACATTTATAATAGGTATACTATTCCATTGACATATTATATAATATCAAAAAAAAATATCATGCAAAATTGAAATTTATTTTAAAATCAATCGACCTATAGTTTAGTTATAGGTAGCGGAACTGATGCGGTTTATACGGATCTGTATAATAATAACTATTATACTTGTGCTGGCGGAATCGACGGATAGGGCTACCCACTCATTTCTAAATCCTCGATTAACGTCCATTTTTTTTTAAAATCCACCCTGCTCGACCCGTTCGAGTTACCGAGAGTCGACCGTATGTCGTATATGAATAATATTATACAGCTGTACTTCTAAACACACACACGCGTTTAGTACGATTTATATATTTATTTCAATATGATGTATCTGCATCTACACGGATGAATAGAGGTACGCGTTTGTCGGACAAAAACTATTTTAGGCACATCATACAACAATATTATGATTAATATGAATAACTCTATAAATTAACGATATGCATSCGTTATAGTTTTTGATATGTTACGATTATTATAATATAATTATTATTATACATTATTATAGGTATATGTATCATATACGTACATATGATATGTAATACGATTAAGGTAGATACCGACATAATATTGCGAAATATTATAATAATAATRATAATATATATATATTTATGTAAATATTTGTTGTGTTTGCTTTGCTAATAAATCTAATACACTTTTTAAATAAYAATAAGAACATTGAAATACATAATTAATACAACATAAAGTCAATAACCAAACAGAATTATTATTATGGTATGTCATCGAGTACGGATGTACAGTATTACTTATATTATTATTATTTATCGTCTATTTCACATATAAAGAAGCTGGCCAGTTTATTAACTAAATATTGTATAGGTATCTAAAAAGTATAATATTCAATACTTATATTGTGTACAAAAATAGGTCTAAGTTTAACACGACGTGACATTACAAGATTTACAACAATAATTAATGTAATTATTATATTTACTAAGGTACCTTAATAATAAAGGTTGAAAACCAGTGGTTTTTTTGGTTTTAATGTTGTTAAAATATTATGCTCATTATAACGACATTAAAATATAGTTAGGTAACGGAAGGTGGCAAATCGAAAATAAACATTATATTTTCTAAGCGTTAAAATTATATTAAATATTATTATTATGATCATTAATATAGTATTGATATGTCATTATTATTATTATACGTTTTTTTTTGATTTTTTTAAAAATATTATATTATTATTATTCGTCTAAAATCGCAGTCTGATTAATTGACATAAAATACACATACGATTTGTTTTGCCTTAACTATCGGCTACAAGACAGTGCCTAGGAGGGTGTGCAGTCTGCATAAGAAAATCATTATTTATAAAATAGCCCGTCCACTATATATAAAAAAAGTATATAAATATAAATATATATTTATGTAAACTCTAATRTGTAACGGAATTGACAGGCAGATATTAATATTTTCTTTTGTAAAATTACAGTAGGCCATTTAGAGCGCAGCAATAGTTTAGCAATATTGTTTATAAATAAATATTTTAGGYATCATTACATAACTTTACTTAAATCTATCTCTTAAAGCTAAACATTCAACTTATTTTCTAGATAGGTAACCATAAGTTTTTAATTTTTTTTTTATACTTAACAATGTTTTTATAATTTTTTTTTTAAATATAATGCGCGTTCTTTAAAAATATATTTTATGTTTGATACGTGTTTTTTTAGCCAACGACAGTATAATAATATGTTGCATGAGCAAAAATAAATGTACTAAAATAATTCTGTGACAAAGTTTTACCTCAGTGATTATGATATGATTAAGTTAGTTCCTATATTAGCGCGAAAAGAGGAGCATYGCATATAATTTTTTTTTTYACATATCTTTTAATCATCAGAAAGATGATGACTAGTTAAAAGTATGATATTTTTTGAATCAATAGGTACATTACTATTAATTGTCTACAATTAAATAATTTAAGTATTCCACCAACTCGAACTAAAGGCTATCACTACCATACTTTTTAGCATGAAAAAAATAAATATAATCCAAGTGACAATTCTTAATTAGGTTTTTGGTGTGAAATGATAAAGAAATTGTGATGCCTGAAGATTTTTGTTTCTATATATCCTAATGAGATTATAAATATTATCTTTCAGATAGTTATATATTTTCAAAAACAAAATATTGATCGGATAATACGATAAATTTGATTTCTTGCAAGTATCAAATTGAATTTATTAATTTTTGTATAATAATATTTATTTATGTAGTTTTTACAYGACTACACGATTATTGAATATTGATAAGAGGTAGGTACCTATAAAATAAATAAAAAAATATTYCGTTGATATTTTTAAATAGTTTAGTTTAGCTCAATTAGCTCCTCTAATCGTATTAATAAAGATTGTTTTGCACAAAAACTGCTTGTATACTGCTGAATAATTATATAATTATATTATGTGATATGTTTATGATAATTGATAATAYATAGAATAAGCTTAAAGCTTATTTATTTTTTGCTATATGAATGACCAAAGTGACATCTTTACTGTCTGAAAAAAAATAATACTTATTATTTAATCATATATCATTTATATATATGCAACAGACAAGTGAGCCGTTCTCTCAAAAAGTAATAAAATAGTACACATAATATTTTTTGTATATCGTTCAATAATGAAATTTCTATAGCTACATTCCTAACATCTTTTGATCAATTAAAACTGATTTACAACATACAATCGCAAAGCCGTTCAATGTCGACCCACGAAAGCGTTGGCTTTGTACTCGTTTGGCAACAGTTTTTTTTTTTTTTGATTAATTATTATTATATTATTAAAGATTTTAAACGATAATGTTAAATTTCGATTGTTATTACAGCATTTCCAAAGAGTTCTCCATTTTCTCTCATTTTATTTTTTTTCCTGGTATAAAAATATGAAAAAACGATCGTCATAAATAATCTATCTTTAGATCCGTTAAGAGATTATACAATACATATACTATCTAGATTGTACAAAAAGATTCATTTTCTCAAGCCGTTTTACACATGTACACATATATGTAATTGAGCTATATTAAAAAGTTTACTTATAGTTGATATTATTATTATTAATATTAAAGAGCTAAGATTGTCTGCATGTTGATATTGTGATCCCAGTGTAATTGGACGAAATGGACTTGTTTAAAGAACGTGCTGTGATGCATTAATATACTGCTACTATATACTAATACTACCTATATAATATATTATCATACATTCTTACGGACAATTTGACTAGAAGACATTAAATACCTATATTATAATTGTATAATATAATATATAATATAGGGTAATGTACTTGGGTTTTCTATATAAGAAAACACTGTCCTTTCTGCATTTGATTGAAACGGATAGCAAGCGTTTTATATCGTTATTGTAATTTTTTTTTTTATGATTAGGTATAATGATTATTATGTTATTTTAACATTATTATTATATTATTTATATTATTATTATTATTATTATTAATGTATACTCTAATTAACACTCGACAAATCTCGTTGATATCCTAACACTTGTATCACGTTCCAGATCCCATTTATGTTGTGTCTACTTATTTAATGATATGCGCGTTTCTGATATGTAAATTTTGATTTTATAGCATAATATACCGGTGCCGATGTCGACGTCCTGATCCATGAGCACCCTTATTGGCCATAAAATGTTTTTCAATGCCTCATTATATTTTGTTAGTTGGTTATGTTTTTTTTTTTTTTTTTTGGTTTGTTTTGATATATTTAAGTTGTCGTTTCTATTTTTTCATTTAGAACAATCTATGTGCCGGTAGAACGAAGATGAATATTATGCTGAAGGAGATTTGTGGATTGATAGTAGCAGACGATGACGGGAACGTACAATTTTCGTCGATAGTGGGCATTGAATCTGGATAATCTTCACAAGTAACTTTACTACTTTCTTTCAAGGCTTGGGCTAAACAAATATTAAATACACAATATATTAAAATGTTTCTAATACTTTTCAATACAGATTTTTATGATTTCATTATCTATATTAAATGAACTACTGAAACGATTTTATAATTTTATTAATGTTTGAAATTTTAAATTACGCAACTACATGTTAGAAGTTAACTAGTAAGTAATCACTCTCCTGGTCAGTTGGTAGGTTCCTCATCATTTAGTAAATCACTGTAATGAATAAATTTGTAATGTTAAATTTGAATTCAATGATAAATCATTGCATTTGAATATGATTCTTTGTAGATGAGCGATGCCGGTCTGTCGGTCTATATTACTTAAGTATATATTTTTATYATATATAAATTTATATATATTGCTGTATTTATACCCAAAAACAAAAATGTTACTACATTTGAATTAAAAAAATATTTGAAATAAGTAAAAAAAAATAAAATACTTATAAATAGCACGAAAAAATTTAAAATATTTTTAAAATCGTGCCATGGCAATTTAATGCTAATATACATTTTTGTGAAAACTTTAAGCCTCTATGGTCATTTATTTTTAAATTATATAATAAAAATAAAATTGACTTTGCTAAAAACTGGGTTTACATGAATAATTCTGTTTTTCTCATTATATTTTTCGTTCATGTTTTGTATAAAAAGTATTAAAATTTTCAAGTTTTACCTCACAAAAGTATTAACTTTAATCAATTTTTGATCAAAAACCACCCTCAAAATTGTAGATCTAATCCAGGTTGGCTTACACAAAAATATACAAGAACGTTAGGTTAGGTTTATATTGTTAAATCAATATACATTCATCGATCGGCTCAGTATATAAAAAATATATTATAACAACAGTTAGTTTGTTATTATGTTTGTATATTGTATATGTTAATTATTATTATATGTATACGAATAATAACTTAACATAATAACTTATGTCTAAAATATGACTGCAGAGGTTTTTTAAATATATGTATAATTTGAAACGAATGAAAAAACAATCATCTTGTAGTTTGGATTAAGTCAAATTAGCACATTACACTTCTAAAGAATTCTTAAGGAATTCTTGCTTACCTTTACTTCCAACACTTGTAAATTTAAATAATAAATTAGTATAGAACCAAATTCACATAATCCAAACAGATATATAACTTTCCTATGACTTAAATTGCTTATATCTGTTTAAAAAAATTAAATACTAGTCATAACATTTTTTTAAATATAAATTATACTGTATTATTGCTAATACGTCAAACATATTAWAGTTATGATAATTAATTAATAACTATCAGTTACCAGTCTTTAATATTTGTACTGACAGTAATTAGATTACATAAAATATATTAAATAATAATTGTCTATTATTTATTTTCTAATCAAAACGAATAAATCAATCTTTAATACAGGCTTACCGATTTTCGGGAAAAATCCGTTCCAAAACTGGCATTCAGCTGCTCTAGGTCCGTAACCAACGTGCATTTCAGCAGCATTCCAAACATGATATATCGGGTTTGTTTCATTGTATAGTGGCCAATCTATGTCATCTGAGACAGGTGTTCTGAAAAAAAACAATTCCATACGAGTTAAAATAATATATAGGACATAGGTGTACAATTGTGTACTGTTATTCAATGCGATGATGATTTAAGGTTATATTAAATCGTTCGTATGTAAAACCATTAATTTGATTCATGTTTTGTTTACTGCATAAAATATTGAATAATAAATTTATTTTTGAAAAAATTTAAATTTTTAACTTTTTTTGATTATATTTGCGTACCATAATTGGATGGATCCATCTTTTAGTTTAAATTTGAATTACATGATTCTTTTAAATCTTTATTGAATTACCTATACAGTTTTGGTATTTTAAAGATTGAGTAATTAAGAGTGAGTAAAAACACATGAAATTGCATGAAACTATGTAAATGTAGCAAAAATYATATGCGATAAAAAAAAAATAACGTGAATAATTCTAAAATTACATTGGTTTTTTGTTATTATTTATTAATTAATTTTTTATCAAACCGTTGGTATGATTTGTACTGATATGTCTGATTTTTGCCCATGTACAGAAACAAGGATAATTATTTGAATTTTTTTAAAATTGAAAGTCCTCAATGTAGTAAAAAAATCTGAATCAAATTTATTATGAGTCATCTAGATGAATTATTTAGTTTAACCTTTAATYGTAATCACGTTGTAGTTATTTAGTATCTAGACTACAACTGTCGAATGTAGTAATCTGAATAAATTGATACATACATAAGTACATACAAGATACAAATATATATACAGTATATAATATGTATAATTTAATATGCAATAGAAAAATTGCATAGTCATAAGAATTCAATGTTTATACATATAAAATATATACTATATACCTAGTTAGTTATAGTTGGTAACCCTCAGCGACTTGGCCATTGGGATAAGATGCATTTTTTTTTTTGAAAGGTGTTACATAATAATAAAGGAAAAGTTTAATAACAATAACAATAAATGCCTATAAATTATATAGGAATAATAATAATAATAATAATAATATTAAGGTTGTGTTTTATTTTTTTAAAATTATTAATAAGTTTGCCCAGTCCTGTCTCCTGGAGAAAAATACGAATCTGTCTGGTGATTGCAGAAAAGGTCCTAGTATATCGTATAAATCGCTGGATAGATTATTGCGATTTCTTGCATCGAGGTATGCAATAAGACATTCCATGAAAATGTGTTTAATTGTAAGTTCGACCCCACACGTCATACACGAGGGGTGCTCGTCTCGGGACATTAGGTAGCCATGTGTTATCCTGGTATGGCCTATTCTTAGCCTGTTGATAATGGTTTCATTTTTTCTATCAGGATGATAGTTATAGGCCATTGAAGAACAGTTGATTTAATTTCATTAAGTTTTGTTTTTTGTTTTGCCCTGCATGTATTTTGCCAAGTTTGTATTGATATGTGTTTTATCGTTCTTATGGTATCTTGAAAAGTGGTGAGTGGAATGATGTCTAGAGAAGTTGAGGAGGCTGTTTGCTTGGCATGCATATCTGCTTTTTCATTGCCTTCAATTGAAGAATGGCCTGGTGGCTGGTATCCACATTATTTTGATAGATGGGTAAATATATTTAATACCGTGGATAAGATAATATTCTAAAGGTATTACACATGATTGTGTTATGTTTGTTTAACCAGATTCTGATTGGCGGGCCTTGGTTAGTGATAGAGAGAGATGGGTGAAAATATGTTTGTCAGTATGATGTCGAAGGCTGATAACTACCTAGAAGAATAGAGTGAGAGAATAGACAGTCGAGTATAATATAAAAACGTATCTATGCAGAAAATGATAACCAATTTTTATTTAAAACACATTTCATGAATGTAATGTTCTATATCCACAGATTTAATATAAAAGATAGTGGCGTATGCAGGGGCAAGGTTTTAGGATTTTACCTCCTCTGAAATTTTTTCCCACAGAAAAAATCTTACCACCATAATCAATACTAAGAGTAGATTAATTGTTAATCATTTTTAATAGATATAACTTAAATTATAAAATGGCAATAACATAGAGAATCATGGAATTTTTTTTTTGGCTAATTAGAAATTCTGCTAAATGTATGTATTGGCGCCGCAATAATGATGTGTTATCGCGGTGCTCTAACCGCTGTGCGACGGCACCTTTCTTAATCTCGTTTTCCGTCTCCTCCATCCACCACTCGGCAATGTAAGCTAAAATTATTATGATTAAATTATGTTTATTTATTTTCTTCGTTCTTGAATTTTGTATGTTGTATAATCAATTATTATTCGGTCTTTTTGCCTCAATTTATATTATCATTCTATGTTATTATCTTTGTTATTGTTATTGTTCTGCGGCAAACGCCTTTTTTTATTATTTGTATTATTATTGTTATACCTACGTAAGCTCTTTCTTATCTCCTGTTATTCCAGTGTCTTCGTAACTCGTTTTGTTTTTGTTATAGTTTTGATTGTAAGTCGCATTGAGCGCATATTCATAATTAATTGTTATTGTGATTCACAGTCAAGTACTATAATTGTACTAATCGTAACTTAATATTGTGAAGGCAAATAAAGCAACTTTCTACACCAGACTCTTCTTGTAAGTTGCTTATTAATTTATGTCACCTCACGTCATCAATCACATTGACCAGTGACTCCCGATTATTGGGTGTCGCTGTTGTCGAGTCCGCGTCATCAGCGAGACAGTGGCGTTGCGTAAGTCCGCAAGAAACTGACCGTTGTGTGAGAGGCCGTCTTGGTTGTCAAGTCCGGCAGTCCTATCCACGTCTTCGGCAGACCACCACCATAACCGGACTTCAATAGGTTTAAGTTAGTTTTAAGTTGTACCCTCTTTTTGTGAGCTTCTCTGTGGTCGATCCAGTCTGATCCAATGACCACAGAGAACCACGCCTCATAACTAAACTGAAACATCTTCATTCACATGATAGACCTGCCCCGTCTCTCTGTGTCGTTGTGTACGTTTAGTTGCCTATCCGAACTGCAACGAGGCTTAGGTATGTCGGTAGTCTACCCAGAATATAGTCGGCGTTAGAGTAGGCAGTGGCCAAGGCTAAATGCACTTTGTTCTTGGGTGTCACAGTATTAAGTGATTTAGAAGCTCTTACTATTTGGGCGGTTGCAGTTTGCATTAATCGTTTCGCCGACTATTACTTCGTTTATTACGGCCTGAAGATGGTCTATAKATAACCAGTTTAAATATTAAAAATGTAATTATTGAGAATAACTCTTTAATTTATTTTAGCCAATCATAAAAAATGTATATAGTAAAAATAATGTTAGTGTGATGAACCCCCTTCGTGGGTTTGTGATTAATCTCCAGTAAAACCATAACCAAAATAAAATATTGCGAACGCTACGGGTAAAATATCTCAACAAGCAATTATTATATTTCCTGTGACTTTGCATTATAACTATATAACATTTAGATATAAGGGACTCTATTCTATTTTTTGTTTTTTTAAATTTAAAATAGCGACAGTTATACATCTTCAAAAGAGGAAACTTAAATAATTGATGAAACAATAATTCTAAACTCCTATAATAATATGAAATTTGTATTAAAAATGTATATACAGCTTTATATTTTATTGCTGATAGAATATGTGTACCTATAATATATTTTATGTTAAGTACACTCCATGAAAATCTCTATTTGTACTATTTTGATTTAAGCTACGTATCTCAACCGATAAAATGATATTTTAAATTAAATTGGAAGTTATTGCTTATAAAACGTATGGCTGGCAATATTTAATATCATGATTGGTTTTTTTCTGCTACACTTCCAAGCACCATCAAAATGAACCATCTTCAAAAAAATAGTCACAAAAATCTAACATAATATTAATACTTATAAGTAGTTTGGCAAGACATTTATCAGGCTAATATATTTATTAAATTTCTTATATCATTTAATTTTTTTTCACGCTTTTTAAATTCACATAGTTGTATTCCGACGATATCTCCTATAAACAGGTTTAATTCAAAAAATTGTACCCAACCGGCAACTATGCCCGGTTRGTAATTCTTTATTTACAGTCCGACCCCATCAAGCTCATTAAAAGTTTTATATTATACATCTTCCAAAAGTAGAAATTTCACTGCAGTATTGAATTGTACTGTATACAATTTGCGTTAAAATGTAATAATTATAAAATGTACATTGTACAATTTATGTTTTGTTTATGACGATTCCAATCGAAAACCAAGTGCGATGAAATTATAACTAATTCAAAATATTTTTCTTAATGTTACAGCCCAGCATGTTTTTTAAATATACTATTTTAAATTWWAAAAAAAGTTTGTGTGTTATGTATTTAAATAGATTCATGGTACAAATGAAAAAAGTTATGCCAATAAATGTAAGTAGAAAATTAGTTTTCAGCATATYCCACAAATCAAAAAATATGGGTAAAAAATATCTTGGAACCTATTTTCCKGTTAGAATCCATATGAATACATGACCGCATATATCCACATATATAATAGGTATATACTAGAAACCAGCTTTATATATCTACTCTATATAAGCATTTACAWCTGTGCAAGTACTACCGAAGAACGTCTGCAATGTTCGTGCGGAAGTAATAATTACGCAGATAGTCTAGATTGGTTAATCAGTATTCAGTTGAATAGTTTCACTTATCGTCCAATCGTCCYGCAGGTAGCATAATATTTACCCTTTTTAAAACAACCACCCGCGTGACCATGGCCAATTATATTATGTATGGCTATTTGTTGTGCGTAATGTTATTATTGTTGCATGTCGGCGATGTGTCTAGTMCTTTCAAGGATTAACTTAATTTTTTTTGTTTTGTTTGTATTGTGTTAATGGCAAATGATAACGAATATATAATTACATAAACTTTAGTGATAACAACAATGGCGACGTTGCACTATACTATTGATGCACAAAACAAGAGATGTACTTTGTCCTCCCYTCCCCTCMAAAAAAAAAAAAATTGCRAGTGTTACTTTAATATATTATAAMATTATATATTATGTAAGACTTCAGCTCTCCTACCTAACTTGACTTAAATGTTGACTGCGGAGGTAAAAATAATGATTTAATAAAAAACTATAAGTGTGCAGGTTGATTATAGTTACGTATATAGTTATATTCACTGTTAAAATTTAGTAAAATACTGTGAATTGCAATTAAGTACGTTACCCGGTCAACGAAAATCTGGTGAATGCTTCCATGATTCGTATGCTCAAATCTCTTTCTCTGGCATTGTACGGCATCGACATGTTCAATGGATGACCAAACACGTATTGCATCTCGTCGCCATGCAATACGCCCATCCATTCACCCCACAAGTGTGAGTCAGTCCTCTGCAATATTTCAACACGTTATATATTATTACTACAGGCCCGATTTCAATGCAAAGTGCATCTTTTTTTGGTTGATCATAGACAATGCTTTCCAAGTACATAATTCGTTTCATGCGTAACGAGTGAGTGTTTCAAAGCTAAACGTTTTATTTTTATTTATTTATTTTTWTTTTTAATAGTATTTTTATGGTTTTTAATGCATGTTTGTTCAATATTCTATACAAATTTAGCATATTTATTAATTTAGTATCTTTATTTAGAATGGATAATATTTTCCCAAAACATATGCATGTCAACATCATAGCAGCACCAAGTCAATTTTTCCAATTTTTATTTTTATTTTTTAATAAAATAATAAATAATAAATATATTTTAATAATTAATTCCAAATTAAAGTAYCAAATTGTATAAAAAATATATAAATGGCATTTTCGAGGTAAAATTAGATTTTTTGGCTATTTTTTTAGAGTATATTTGTATGGTTTTAAGATCATTTAAATCCGGGCCTTAATTATTACTGTAAGAGTTATTTGTATGAACATGGTAAATGGCAATTAMTAATTTATTAGATACACTATATCGCTAACAAAAACTGTGACAAATTTCAAAATTACAAGTTCTTTTCAACTAGCCCCTAAAATAGCCGAATYCTTGTATTCCAGGTATAACAGCCTTATGGAAACATTGGATACATATATACAATATAGAATACTAATATAGTAATTACCATAGTAGGATACTTGTATAAAAAATATATTTATGATGGATAAAATATAACAAATGTCAAAGAACACAAAAATACAAGATACATTGGTATCTAAGATACTTTATACCTTGGATTACAATAAATATATAATATACTTCCCAGCTCTTAAAATAATACTTAAGAACACTTTACTACGATTTATAAAAATTAAAAACTACTCACGTGAGTAAAGAAGTAGTAGTACACCCGAGCTCCACGACTTGACACGATGTTGGCAAACAGRTTGGTTGGACAAACAAAGAAATAATCTGCAACCACGTCGCTCAATTGTTTTTGGTTGGAATATTTGTCATCCACYTCTTTTTTTTCCCATCCCGAATACTGAAATATATAAGATTGTTGTGTGATGATTGTATATTAATATATTAAGTTTTATTTTACACACACACACWCACAACAATTTTTCATTAGCTTTAAAATATAATATAACGTTAAAAAAGTTTTTTATAACAGTTTATTAATGGTGGTACGTATTAGGTACCTACTCTTTGTACAGGTAATTTTTAAGATTAATATCGTATTTAGTTATTCCCAAACCGAGATAACTTTTTATTTCCTTATATTTTAATTTTTTTGAAAAGCTGTTCATAATTGATGACTGGAATTCAATAAAGTGTAATGGGCTCTAATGAACATTTTGTCTGGAAAATAACTGATGATAAGAACCGCGGTGATGTATTATTAATGTATCTATAATATTCGTTACATTAAATTATCGGAATTTTAAAATAATTTATAGGTTTAAGACTTTAAAATGTATGACGTAAGAAATAATGGACTTTTTTCTCAAAAAAATTCATCAATTATTAATATTTGCAGTTGCAACTTTTTACACTTGTCAAAATTATTATATAATAAAAAAGAAATTACTAAATTAATATTACATAGATTGTTTGTAAGGTATTACAATAATAGTTATTATGAAATACAATATTTAGTTATTATTTTTAAAAATGTATTTTTCTTGCTTTTGATGACGCAAAATCTTTAACTAAATCGTCAATGTCAAGATCATTCGCAATTTGATTTTCAATTGAAATTGTTGCCAATCC